CCAAGAAATTTAAAAAATTACGACAATTGAAAATTACGAAAACTATCAAAGTTACGAGAATTATAAAAAATTACAGGGATTACGAAAAAGTTACGGGAATTACGAGAATTAAAAATCACAAAGGCTTTCGGGAATTGATTTTGAAAAATGCCCAGAAAAATTACGGAAATTACGGGAATTACCTACTAATTTTTGAAATATACAAAAACGTGGAATTATAAAAATAACGGAATTTTCTGAGAAACTACGGCAATTAAAAAATTACGAAAATTTGAAGAACGACAGGAATTAATAAAAAAATTATAAGAATTATTTGAGAAATGACAGGAATTAAAAAATTTCTATAGAAAAATTACGGAAATTACGAGTCTTCGAAAATTACAAAATTTGCTACAATGAGCTCTTTATTTTCTTCTTTTTCTGGAAAATTTTCACAATTTTCTTGCCAGTTTCCCGGTTGTAAGAGGGTGAATTTTGCCTAAAAAAGTCAATTTCCCAGAATTTTTCCTGGAGTGATTTTTGACTGGAAAATGTTGAAATTCTTCTATAATGTGCTCCTCACTTTTCTTTTACTTCTGGAAACATTTCATAATTTTCCCTTTGCCAGATTTCTAGGAAAAAATTAAAATGTAAGAGGATGAATTCTCCTTAATTTTGCTGAAAAGTAAGTTTTTCAAAATTTTTCCTGGATTAATTTTTTACTGAACAATTTTGAAATTTTCGTAAAATGAGCTTCTCATTTTCCTCTTATTCCTGGAAAATTTTCAAAATTTTCTCTTTGCAAGTTTTGCAGAAAAAAATTAAAATGTAAGAGGTGAATTTTCCCTAATTTTACTCGAAAAAGTCAATTTTTCAGATTTTTTCCTAATTGATTTTTTACTGGAACATTTTGAAATTTTCGTAAAATGAGCTCCTCATTTTCCTCTCATTCCTTGAAAATTTTCAAAATTTTCTCTTTGCAAGTTTTGCAGAAAAAAATTAAAATGTAAGAGGTGAATTTTCCCTAATTTTACTCGAAAAAGTCAATTTTTCAGATTTTTTCCTAAGTGATTTTTTACTGGAACATTTTGAAATTTTCGTAAAATGAGCTCTTCATTTTTCTCTTATTCCTGGAAAATTTTCAAAATTTTTTCTTTGCAAGTTTTCTAGAAAAAAATTAAAATGTAAGAGGGTGATTTTTTTTTTACTCTTTCAGGGGCAGGATATTTAGGCAAAAAAAAGTCCTAGAGGGGCCCCACTTAAAAACCGTTGATTTGTACTTTCTGGTATACAATGAATAAAATACGAGTCCTAAAAATATAAAAACTCAAAAAAACATCAAAAAATTCCAAATTTTTGTAAAAAAATATGTGGTTCAATTTTTGTACCACTGCGCACAAACCAAGAAGAACGAAATGTTTTTAATTATTTGGTAGGTGGTAATTTTGAAGACATGTTTTGTTTTTTCCGAGGCAAAGAAGTACATCGCATATGGAACATACCCTGTCGGTCCTAATTTGTTTTTTTGAGGTGTTACAAAGCGCACAGCGACGCCTGGGTCCTTATTTTCGAAAAAGGGAAGCAGCGTTCTCCTACGGGCCGATCCTCGAGCCAGGGAGTAGAGCTCCTCGAGAGAACAAATTTTTCGTCTTTATCATTCTCATTTACTTTTCGATTACGTTAACAAAGACAAAACATTCGTTCTATCGGGGAGCTCTTCTCCCTGGCCCCAGGATCAGGCTTCTGAGAGCGAAGGTTCTGTCTCTGTCGCCCATATTCATATTTTCATAACACTGACAAAGACATCAGAGCAGTCCTTCTCATGAGAACGCTGCTCCCCGGTTTCGAGACATCCGTGTGTTCCTTTTTGGTTGATGTCCACTTTCACTTGTGCGTATGTCTGGAGAAACAAATGATTTTTTTTATTGCAATAGTAAGTATTTGGTCGTCAATAAAATCAGCTGGTTTCTGGGGACACGAAAGCCTTGACCAATCACGACTTTGGGGAGAGGTAACGATGGCTTCAATTTGGACCTTAAAACTGGAAGAGGTAGATCATTTTCTGAGTCGCTGTCTGGTTCGGGTTCCATTAGAATCATGTCATTCTCAGTTTCGTCTGCTTCATTCTCGGAGTTATCAACGATTAATTCTGGATCAGATGGAATACCAACATTTTCAAATTCCTCCTTTGGCTCCCTGTTTGTCATTCCGCGTAATCTTAATAATAGGTCTTCCATCTTACCTGAAGATATTTATTTTTTTTAGTATGGAAACTGATTCAATATTTTTTGTGTAATGGGGCGGTGGTACAATTACCATACCACGACATATACAAAAAACCTGGACACAAAAAATAAAAATCAACACTTTTACGAAGACAATAATGTCAAGTATACCTCTGCCAGTACATCTAAGCTATCAATGTTAATAAATAATAAATTTGTGTTTACCTTTGCGACTTACTTCTTTGTACACAATAAAAAACCGTTAAAATTGTATTTACCGCGCGAATCTATAACCTCAAATGCGTGTTAGCTTGTATATACCCGGGTAACTATACTAAATTCACGTTAGAGATGCGCGTGAGAATGCTTGGGCGTTGTTGGTCGACAATTTAAACCACCGCACAATAAGTTACTTGCATTTGAATAAGTGGTACCTTCTCTGGACCACCGCTCAACTAGAATCATATTTGTTCGGGTATAATTTATGTACCACTGTTCCTGAAAGAGTTAATTGCTTAAATAAGTCAATTTTTTAGAATATATTTGAAATTTCAGTCGTAAAAACAAAGAATCACCCTTTGTCGTTTGTACATGATATTTAAGAACACCCTGTATAATACGCAGTTAATTAATTTATATATTTGGGCCTCCAATGATTTTTTAAGAGCCGGTATTTCAATGTCACCTTAAGATATAGAATAAACATAGACATTGACAACATTGTCTGACCTTGTTCGATGACGTCATCCTAAATGTTGATATAAGATAAAAACCGTATATTTTAAGGTAATGCCCGTATTACATCTGCGTATTTCTCCATGTATTTATTCATGTAGTTCAGGGTGACAACCGAAAAATTTCAAACACAATATAAATCAGCATTATGGAAAACAAAATGTTGGCACCCTGAACTACATGAATAAATACACGGAAAAATACACAGATGTAATACGGGCATAAGTCTTGATTTTAACAATAATAATTGCGAAAGTGCTTTATGAATTAATCAACGAGAAATACTTTTTCTAAATTATGACGTCATCGATGACGTAAGTAAGTACAAAAAGTGCAAAAAAATACATAAAATAATTTGGTTGCACTAATTTTTTATATAAGTGTTAGGTAGTGCTATGGTGGGATGCCGAATAGGAGTGCTAATTTTTGCTTTAGGGGTGCTTAGCACCCCCAAGCATTCCCCTAGTTGCGCCTATGGTGATAAATTTACCTGCACCTGTGGACATCGGATTGTGAACAGCATATAATTATTCATACCACTTTTGAAAATGGTGAATTCACAATTCAACGTTTAAATAAAAATACCTAATAAAAAATTTTAGGAGTGTTTTTTGAACGACTTTTGAGTCGAAATTTGGGTTAGTTTGGGTTACTTAAAAAAAATTTAGCAGGGGGCTTGTGATGGGCCCGTAGAAATTTTGGCACACAGGCCCGGAGCCTGAGTTGATACGCCACTGAATAGGTCTGTTCCAACCGACATGAGAACCGTTCTAGAACGGTAATTTCTAGTCGATCAATTCATTTCTCAATCAGGACAAACGTTCAATTTTTCAAAAAATAAGTATGGGCAACTGGAAATTACCGTTCTAGAACGGTTCTCATGTCAGGTTGAAACAAACCTATAGTATCAGATTTGAATTGAACAAAACAAACTACTAAAATAATTATAAACAACAATTTTTTTTATTTAAACATTTTTTCTTAATTTAAATACTATAGGTATCAGTCAAAACTTATTGAGCAGGAGGCGCAGTAGGCAAATGAGCGCCTTGAGGTTGGAAACCGTTTTCGTCAGCTACATAAGTGACAGTGTAGACAACGCCATCTGGTCCGGTGTATTGGAACGAACCACGAACAGCTACAGCTTCGTTTTCAGCGCCGGCGTTGATTAGGTGACCTTCTGCTTGTGCTGAAATTCCGTTGCTAGTTTCGTATCTGAACAAGACAACAATTACCATTGAGAAACATTAAATCAAATAATTATTTACGCATGATTGTATCCTTCAACTCCAATGTTGTCCAAGTCGTTTCTGAGAACTGTAGCATCAGCGTCAGGGTTGCCAGCAAAGGCTACAGCTACAAGAGCGAAGATAATGATAGCCTGAAAAATAAATAAATTTGGTACTTAATTCCAGCAAAGCCAACATTTAAAAATTCACTTACTACTTTCATTTTTACAGTTGAGTGTGATACAATCGAATGATAATTTTTGAAAAACGTCCGGCATTTTTATACAAAAAAAAATGTTGCTTCTCCTGACATTTCGATTCATCAATGATTTTGGTTGATTACAATAATTTATTGCATTATACAAAATCTTTTCCATTGTGTCATTTTTAACGCAAATTCCAGTGGATATTTTCAAGATGATTGAATTGGAACTTTTTCAGGAATTATTATCCATTGTGGAATCTGAAACTCAGTATGTAATAGAATTATGATTTTTTTTTCAGCTTCAATACAAAAAAGCTCAAAACATTCTTGAAAATACTTCAAACACTCAGACCAACATAGAATTTTCAGGATTTATTAATTACAGTAGTTATTGAGATAACTATCAATCATTGAAAATGTATAAACCCGTTTATCAAAATTCTGACATTGATCTTGAAATCTCCCGCACTTATTAGCATAAATTTGCGAAATAAAAAAATAAGATTTCGATTAATCGAGTCGGGGGAGAAATGTCAGCAAAGCAATATAAAACCGCTAGACTTTTTTGGAAAAATTATCACTTCTTTGTTGCAATTATTTGATTGTATCACCAAATCACCAGTCAAAATGAAAGTAGTGAGTACATATTTTAAGAATCAGTTACTTGAATCAATTACCAACTTCATTTTATTTTTCAGGCTATCATTTTCTTCGCTCTTGTAGCTGTAGCCCTTGCTGGCAACCCTGACGCTGATGCTACAGTTCTTAGAAACGACTTGGACAACATTGGAGTTGAAGGATACAATCATGCGTAAATAATTATTTGAATTAATGTTTTTCAATGTTAATTGTTGTCTTATTCAGATACGAAACTAGCAACGGAATTTCAGCACAAGCAGAAGGTCACCTAATCAACGCCGGAGCTGAAAATGAAGCTGTAGCTGTTCGCGGTTCGTTCCAATACACCGGACCAGATGGCGTTGTCTACACTGTCACTTATGTAGCTGACGAAAACGGTTTCCAACCTCAAGGCGCTCATTTGCCTACTGCGCCTCCTCAATAAGTTTTGACTGATGTGATGCTAGTGATTAGGTTTAAGTTGAAAAGTTAATAGAAAATATTTAATGATATCGTCTTTGCTTGATTACCTTTTTGACTCAAGAATAGATATTTTTCACTTTCAACCATAAGCTCTGAAGATCATGGGCGTCGTTACGAGGTTTCACAGGGGGGGGCAGTATTATAATAAGACCATTTCTATTAGCGCCGCAGGCAACCGCCGTAGACTAATTTTTTTTGCTGCCACGCCCCTTTTTGAGCATTTCAACGTACTTATTTGATATCGATATTTGTTAAAAATGATGGTATTTTTTTCCACAACAAATTCACTGTCCGCATCATTTGTTTAGGTATAATTTTCCAATGGCCGGTATTATAAAGCACTGAATCGATGATTGAGTTTCATGCAAATTGATAGGATTCAACCGAAGGTTGGAACTTGAAACTCTACCATCGGTTCAGTGTTTTATAATACCGGCCCTAAATCAAGTGAAATTCAATTCCGTTGAATGTAATGGAAATGTCAGCCAATTTTTCAAAGTACAGTAGACTCGCGCTAGTGTGAACACAAAAAAACCGGACGTGTTCATATTATCGAGACGTTCACACTATCGAAGGTCTACCTAAAAATGCAAAATATTGTCAGCAATGGTCTCTAAACTTAAAATTCAAGAAAAATTAATACCATAGGTACTTGCAAACCTATCCATTAAGTAAATTTTCCCAGTTTATTGATTAAAGTGAGATGTAATTTTTGTCTAAATGGTTCTACCTGAGCATTGGATGGCTACCTACTTTGTCTTAAAGTTTCTTAGGCTTTCTGTGTCATTAGCGCGAATATATACTATTGTCTTGCTGGCAATCTTCTAGAATTTTTGACTTCTCATAAGGTCTTTGACAGTTTGCAAACTGTCAGTAACAATTGCTCAGCTAAGTTACTGAGTTATCTTGGAATGACGGCATTGAAAACATGCAGGGGCGATGCATTTTGACAGTTTGCAAACTGTCAGAGACTCTTGTGAGAATAGACCCATAGAGAGTTGAAAAAATTGTGTTTTTCGCCATTTTTACAAAACTGATTAACCACAACAAACAACGAACTGAAGATTTATAGAATTTTGACCGTGCTATTGACGCGCTGCCACTTGCGTATTCCACATTAGAGTGAATGCAGTAACTCAACATATCTGTGCAGTCCTTGTCTCAAAACCTTCGGAGAACCCCATAATTGGATAGATAAATAATCGATGAAAACAACAAGTAGGCAGAAAACGGTTAAATTCGTAGTCAAATACATTGTTCATACTACCGATATTCTCAAAAGTTTACACTACAGAATATGTACCATCGTCACCAAAAGTAACTGGGACAGCATCACATTAGCTCTTGTCCTATTATATGAATTTTATTGTCAAATATTTGTCAAACTATGAATTAAATGCATTGAAATGAATGACAGTAGAATTAGTCCAGGAGATTATTATGCATTATTTGTGTCCCAGTTACTTTTGGTGACGATGGTACCTATAATGTATTCATTCTAGCTGTTCATACTACTGGGAGGTTCACAGAAGCGTGTGTTCACACTAGCACGAGTCTACGACGAGTCTACTCTGTACCTAACAAATTTTGAAAAAAAGGATAAAAGCAATACGAACTCTCTTTTACTGCTTTCTTGTTCAAAAGACTATTCGTAGGGGGGGGGGGGGCAAATGCCCCCCTTTGCCCCCCCCCAAACGACGCCCATGCTGAAGATTCTAAAGACACTACTAAAGAGTTAAAAGCTTTTGGAGATTTTAAAATAAATACACCGAGCCATGAAAGATTATCTTTTGTTGTTTTTAGAATCTTTAAAGGCGAAATTTTTCTGTTCAAGGACTTTGGAGTTCATGGGCTTTTAATCAAGAACATGAAAAGATTCTAAAAAACGGAAAAGTGAAACTTCTATGGCTTCGTATTGAGTGTGTACGTCGCTCTCTCTTGCTCTACTACCGTGGCATCAGAATTGAACTGCGCTTATGCGCGTCACACTCTACACCGTGATTGTCGTTGACCGTGCATTAGAATTCAATTGGATTGCAGGTGGATTAATAGAGATAGCATCTAATCCACCTGCAAGCTAATGTACGGGCTACGTAAATCACCCTGTTGTTCTCTTCCAAAAAAAAACTCAATTTAAACACAACATAAGCAAGAAATATGGCGACTGTCAACAATATTGGCCGCGACCGCGACACGAATGGAAAGCAAAATACTGTATTCCTTTTACCCGTTGAGTTAATCGGAGTTGCTCGCTCAATGTCAAAAGCTTGAACGTTCCTTTAAGAAGTGCGTTAAGCACTCGAGTCGCTCATAGTGTATCCCCCTTTCCCCTGATGCACCAAAGAAGGAGGCACAATCAACATTAAAAATAGGCCCCCGTAAATTTCAACCAAATTTCAATATTTTGAAGGTATCATTGTTGCAAGAAAAAATTTGAAATGTAAAGAGGATCGTATGTCTGTGATAGCAGATATAGCTCATCAAAGTACGTAGGTCCTGCTATGCTATGCATAGGAAATATCCCTACGTAGGTTTTCTTGAATATCTCGAAAAATACTAATCCGATTTTGACCTTTTTGGAGTTTGATACCTACAAAAGGACCCCAAAAACTTCATGCATTTTATAACAAAACATATAAACTAGGGTAACTAGGAAGGAACTAGATCACTGGCCGCTGCGTCGGCGGGTTTACGTGGACCCGGAACTATTGTTGCCGGTTCTTCTATTTCACGGCTTGTTAAGTAGAGACGGCTGTGACACAGGCCTTATGAGGATAGGCCATCCTGTAGTAGTAGTGTGTATCATCCTTGAGTTGACAGTGGTTGCTGAAAATTTCGGTTTTCATACGGAATGGTTTTTCAATCGCAAAATCGCTGCCAATTGCTTCGGTGACATGTTTGACATAACCAACCGCGTTTTATATAGACCGGTTTTTCAGGAACCAGACATTACGGAACATGTAACCGTAATCAGGTTGGAAACGGAACCCATCAGCCTATAAGTAAAAAAATAGGCATTGACAACATTGTCTGTCTTGTTCAGGTACGGAGCCATGGGGGGGGGGGGGGGTTGGGAAAACTAGGATAAAAAATTTAGAGTTAGGAAAAATTGGTAGACAAAAATTTGCGCACCTTATTTGCGAGGACTAATTAAAATTAACATAAGGATCGTGTCACGTGTCGTAATGAATTGCAAAATCACCGGACAACAGAATGACGAAATCCCAATGGTCGCAGAGAATTTCTTGCGTTGCACTTTGCACTGCACTAACGCCACTAGCCTGTGGCAGTGGCACGTGACACTTGTGGCAGTAGTAGCATTAGCACCTAGCGCTATATAGTATATTAGGTAATCCAAACTTCTTATTAGAGGGAGTTGCGATTTCACGAACTGTGACTTTGTCACTGCTACTCGTCTGTCACAGTCACGGCCTGCTCCAGTCCCACTCAAGTAGCAGTGACATTTTGTCACGGCCTCTTCGATCTCTAACCGATACAGCGCGGACTAAACTCAACTTAAAGTAATGCAAATAATGAAATATTATTATAAATCACATTGCGGTGAAGCAAAACAGAAACTGCTACTGCAGAGGGCAGACTGGAACATTGCTCTCGGCCGTGACTGTGAACTGGGCGAACTGCGATTATGAAATGTACCATTTATATGTATTACCAGCACGGCCAGTCAAGTCACTGCTATTTTGTTACCGTGACACAACTGGAGCAGTCACGTCTTGTCACAGTTCCAGTAAAATTGCAGGTTGGCCCACCTCTATTTAAAACCAACCCGGAGGAGACTCGACATTGAGAAATCGGCCCACAGGGACGAAAAAATGTAGCAACCCTGGCACAAAAATTGCAGCAACCCTGACGCAAACGTCAAAAAATTTGATATGTCAAAGTCAAAGTAGGCCTTGTAATTTTTGACAAGGAAAGAGATAAAGTAGGATGTAATTCAAGTGCTCACTTTTTTTAACAGAGGCAGAAAAACCTTATCTACCCCTAATTTTAGTATTTAAAACTAGAAATTTTTGGATGAAAACTCAAAGCCTCGTACTTAAAATCGGTTTTCCCGATCAAAAAAGCACTGGGAAAGCGGAAAATCCAAAGAAAATCCCGTCAAAATGACAATACAGAGTCTACTTAATAAAACTTGAGTTTTTGTCACTTACCTCATTGGAAAACTGGAAATTTTTGGCAAAAAATGAAGAAAATTCATAGTATCGTCTTATCAATCGGTTTTCCCAATTGAAAGCGGCATGGAAAAGCGGAAAATTCGAGATAAAAACATTCAAAAATGACCTACTGTCAAAACTGGGAAATAATATTGTGCGACGTTGCCACATCTCAAATAGGAAAAAATTACATTTTAAATAGTTTTTTGTTTAAATAATTAATTATGAATGTTTATGAAATGATAAATTCCGAAAATAATGCATTGGAATCTTATCTTTAATAAATTCCAATAAAAATGACATTCCAAGGCCTGCTTAATAGTAAATAAGACAAAGAGGGAGATAAAGTAGGAAACAATTTAAGTCTAAAAATGGAAATTTTTGGTGGAAAAATGAAGCAACTTCAAAGCCCCCGCCTTTAAAATCATCTTTTTCTAATTGAAAAATCCCTGCAATAGTAGAAAATTCAATGGAAAACCAACATTCCAAAGCCTACTTGAAAAATCAAAGTTTTGGTCACTTACTCCATTGGAAATTTTTGGTGGAAAATGGAGAAAACTCAAAGCCTCGAACTTTAAAACAGTTTTCCCGATTGAAAACGGCCTGGAAAAGCGGAAGTTTCGATGAAAAACTGGATAAAAATGTAAACTCGTCAATTGAAAATGGCCGACTGTCAAAAATGGCAAATGACATTTATTACAAGGTCTACTTGAAGTTCTCACAAAACTTCCAAAAAAAATAATTTCAAATGGGATTCTACTTGTAATTTAATAATTAAAAACCCGTTAAATAATTAATTAATAACGATTTTAAAATTAGAAATTCCTTGAATAAGGCCTCA